CAGCAGCAGCAGCAGCAGCAGCAGCAGCAGCAGCAGCAGCAGCAGCAGCAGCAGCAGCAGCAGCAGCAGCAGCAGCAGCAGCAGACCGGCGACGACGACGAGGGGGGCAATCCCGTAGGAAAACTTGCAAGAGTCCCGGACCTCCTGGGCCCTCGCCATTATCACTTCCGCAGGCCGGCAGCGGGGATTCACTATGCCGCACCACCCCGGCTGCAGCAGCAGCAGCAGCAGCAGCAGCAGCAGCAGCAGATGTGCCAGCAGCAGCAGCAGCGAAGGGGGCAGCAGAAGCAGCAGCAAATGTGCCCGCAGCAGCAGCAAAGGTAGCAGCAGCAGCAGGAGCGAAGATAGAAGCAGCAGCAGCAGAAGCAAAGCTAGCAGCAGCAGCAAAGGGAGTGGCAGCAGCAAGGGCAGCAGCAGCAGCAAGGGCACCAGCAGCAAACGCACTAGCAGCAGCAGCAGCAGCAAGGGCAGTAGCAGCAGCAAGGGCAGCAGCAGCAACAAGCAGCAAAGGTAGTACAAGCAGCGACAATCGCAGCAGCAAATGCAGCAACAGCAGCAGCAAAGAAAGTAGCAGCAGCAGCAGCAGCAGCAGCAGCAGCAGCAGCAAACGCAGTTGCAGCAGCAGAAGTAAATTTAAAAATTGCAAGCAATGAAGAAAATGAAATTAAAAGGAAAACAACAAAAAAACGAAATCGAAAGCAAAATACCAAAAGAAAAAGCAGTTAAGTAATTACATTATCAATTAATATAAATAAATAAATAAATAAATAAAATAAATATATTAATTAATTAATTAATTAATTAATTAATTAATTAATTAATTAATTAAGTAATTAATTATTTAAAATAAACAAAAAAGGTATTTAAAACAAACAAAAGAAAGCCAGCTGGTGAAATAAAAACAAATAAAATAAATGCAAGAAATATGTAAATTGAATAAATTAAATGAATCCAACAGATAAATAAAAGAATAAAATTAAATTAAATAAATAAATAAATTAATAAATAAATAATAAAAAATAAATAAATAAATAAATAAATAAATAAATAAATAACATATTGCTAAACAAAGAAGAGCCAAAAGAAAAAAGACTGAAACAAAACTGGCAAAGAGATGCCACAAAAAATAAATAGAAATAAATTAATTAATTTAATTATTTAAATAATGAATTTAATTATTTAAATAATTAATTTAATTATTTAAATAATTAATTGAATTAAATAAACATAAGTAAATAATTAAATAAAATAAATGAATAAATAAATAAATAAAAACACAAAAAATCTTTTAAAAAAAGAGTCGAAAGAAACAAATATAGCAGATAAAAAGATGAAAAAAAAGCCAAATAAAATAAAACAAAACAAAATAAACAAATAAATAAATAAATAAATAAATAAATAAATAAATAAATAAATAAATAAACAATTATTTACCTTGGGGTTTTGCATTGCTAAAAGGTTATTAACCATAACTCTTCTTCCAATTCGAAAATAAAAAAACCTTTCCAAAAAAGAGTCGAAAGAAACAAATATAAAAGATAAAAAGATGAAAAAAAGACCAAATAAAATAAAACAAAATAATTAATAAATAAATAAATAATTAATTAATTAATTAATTAATTACCTTGGGGTTTTGCATCGCTAAAAGATTATTAACCATAACTCTCCTTCCAATTCGGAAGTAAAAAAACCTTTCCAAAAAAGAGTCGAAAGAAACATCCAAAGAAAGTCTTTTGAGCTGCTGCAGCGCGCGGCCCAGCAAGTCGACGCTGCTGTCGTGCTGCTGCCTCTCCTGCTCCAGCAACCTGCAAACCCTCAGGGTTTAGGGTTTAGGGTTTGGGGTTTAGGGTTTGGGGTTTGGGTTGGGTTGGGGGGTGGGAGGGGGCT